CCCCATCTGCTGTATTCACATTCAACAATGATAATTCTCTATTCTCCCCCACTCCTTTATTTATTTACTTTTTAAAAGAGACGGGGGTCTGTCTTGCCCTGACTGGCTCCCAACTCTTGGCCTTAAACTCTTTTCCAGCCTCAACTGTCTGAGCAGCTAGAACATGGACAACTATGCTAGGCTTGAAGTGCTACCTCTGAAGGGCAGAAATTGATTTTAGATTTTCTCTCTAAAGATGAGAAAACCCACAGGAAGTTTTTTGGGTGCTTGTAGCCTTTTATTCTAGTCCAGATGCAGGTTTCTTGATGTCTCAAATATCTTGATAAAAATGACTTAAAGAAAAAAGATTGTCTGTAATTTTACATTTTTATTTGCTTTTACTATGAGTTTAATGCATGTCTTTGCAAATATTTAAGCATGTGTTCTATCTCTAAACAATACCCGTAGCTCCCTTAGAAGGTATCTCCTCCAAGTCTCTCACTCTGCATGTTGTCCAGCTGTGGGTCTGTGTTAATTACTATCCACTGCAGGAAGAAGCTTCTCTAATGAGGGCTAATGCAATGATCTATCGGCACAGTAGTACATCATTAGAAGTGGCTTACTGATAAGTTCACGTACAGAATAGTAGTAGTAGGTTGTCCTCTAGGACCTCCACCCTATCTAGTCACAAGCTCTCAGTTTCATTAGTACTATCTCAGCCCTGAATGAGATATCTCTATCACGATTCTCTCCACTAGGCTCAGGATCTATGCAGAAGAGGGGGCAGAAGATTCAAGGAGTCAGGGGTGGTGGATGGTTTTAAGGAAAAGACATTTCCTAGATACCACAGGCCTGGTGCCCATATGGACTCTCAAAGACTTTGACAGCACTCTAAGACCGGCAAAAACCCAAGCCAGACAAAGTTCCAGCATTGAGGAGACACTAAGTGTCTCCACTAACCAACAAGCTCTTTCCAACTGACAGCTACTGGGAAAGGGAAAGTTCTTCAATGGGGGGATATTGACTATGTCAAGCCCAGTCCAGGGCAGGCCTCGTGCCCAGGAGCTGTCAGCCAATACAGGTCACATTGCATGTTTTAAGTGGCTTCTCCCACATTTCTTTCTCTTTCATCCAAGAGAAAGAATATTGTCTTAGTTAGGGTTTTACTGTCATGAACAGACACCATGACCAAGGCAACTCTTATAAAGGACAACATGTAATTGGGGCTGGTTCAGAGGTTCAGTCCATTATCAAGGCAGAAGCATGGCAGCATCCAGGCAGGCATGGTGCAGGTCGAGCTTAGAATTCTACATTTTCTTCTGAAGGCTGCTAGCTGAATACTCCCAGGCAGGTAGGATGAGGGTATTAAAGCCCAGGCCCACAGTGACACACCTATACCAACAAAGATACACCTCCAAACAGTGCCACTCCCTGGGCCAGGTATATTCAAACCATCACATTCCACTCCCTGGCCACCATAGGCTTGTTCAAATACATGAGTCTATGTGGGCCATATCTAGCCATTGCATAATAAAAAATACATTTAGTCCAACTTCCAAAGTCCCCATAGTTTATAGCAGTATCAACAATGTTAAAAGTCTAATGTTCAAAGTTTCTTCTGAGATCGATCCAATCACTTAACTGTAATCTCCAAATCAAGACAGGAAACCAGCTGGGCAAACTCCAAACTCTGCATCTCCATTTCTAATGTCAAAGCAGTCTTCAGATCTCCAACTCCTTTTTTTATCTTTGTTGGCTGCAACAAACTTCTTTTCCTGGACTGGTTCCACTCCCTGTTAGCAGCTTTCCTCAGCAGATAGTCCACGGCTCTGGCATCTTGAACATCTTGCGGTTTCCAAGACAACTTCAACGTTACAGCTTCTTGTTTTAATGTCTGGGTTCTGCACATGATCTTCTGGGCTCCTCCAAAGGGCTGGTGTCACTTCTCCAGCTTTGCCCTCTGTAACACTCTTAAGCTCAGGTTGATCCATTCCACTGCTGCTGCTGTCTTGTGATCATCCCTTGGTACTGGTATCTCCAATACACTGGAGTCTTCTGCTGCAAGTAGACTTCACACGATAGCCTCTCATAGGCTTTCTTCATGGTGCCAAACCTCAACTCCTTTACATGACTCCTTCAGTCCTGAGCCATCAACTGCAGCTGAGGCTGCACCTTCACCAATGGCCTTCCATGGCCTCTCACAGTGCCAAGCCTCAGCTGTTCTTCATGACCCCTTCATACCTTCAAAACCATTTCCACCTGGGTGACTCTTATACATTAACAAGTCCAGCCACAGCATGAGGTACAACCTTGGCTATCTCTGGAACACAGCTTCTCTGTGCTCTCAGAAAACACTTCCCAGAAGATTTCACCTCAGTGATGCTGGTCTCTTCTTAATCACCACTAACTTCTTAGCTCCAGCTAAGCAGCATCAATTGTCCCAGTAGTCTCCTTTTCTTCTTGACTCTAAAGCCAGAGCCACAAGGCCAAACGAAGCTGCCAAGTTCTGCTGCTCGCAGGAGCTGGAACCTGGCCCCTTGTTCTATTACATTATCGATAGCTTTCTATTTTCCAACTCCTTCATTGCCTAAGCTTGGCTTTCCTAGATCTTGTTCTGTAGATTGACGTTGACCTCAGAGTTCTGCATGCATGTCACCTGGGATTAAAGGTGTGTACCACCATGCCTGGATTTAAGCTTTTCTTCACCTAGAACCTGCTTTGTCCCAGGCTGGTCTTGAACTTGGACATCTGCTTGGCTTTATCTCCTGGAATTAAAGGTGAGTACCACAATGCCTGGATCTAAATTTGGCTGGATAGGATCTTGCCCCAAGGTTACCACTCCCTTAATTCAATTTAATATCATCAAACACAGGATTCAGTTCCATTTCACTTCCTGGAGCCCCTTTAATACTTGAACCATATATTTTTCCTTTCTCAGCTTGCTATGCTTGTTAAAAAAAGGTCTTCATGAAACTTAACCAGAGAGCAAATACTATGATGGGCATTTCTGAGACTTCCTTTGTCGAAGCAATTAATCTGAGTTTCTTCACCTTCGCCTCAGGCAGATACTTCAGACAAGGGCAAAAAGCAGCCACATTCTTCACCAAAATACCACAAAAACAGTTTCTAGGCCAAATACTTAAGTTCTTCTCCACTGAAACCTTTTGGGCCAGGTCTGCACAATTCAAATCACATTCAGTAACAAAGTCTTCCATATTCCTACTAGGATGGCCCATTAAGCCACTGCTTTCCAAATCCAAAGTCCCAAAATCTACATTTTTCCAAACAAAAGCATGGTCAGGCCTATCATAGCAATACCCTACCCTAGTCCCTGGTACCAACTTCTGCCTTAGTTTGAGTTTTATGGCCATGAACAGACACCATAACCAATGCAAGTCTTATAAAGGACAATATTTAATTGGGGCTAGCTTACAGGTTCAGTCCCTTATCATCAAGGCAGGAGCATGGTGCAGGCCAAGCTTAGAATTCTACATTTTCTTCTGAAGGCTGATAGCAGAATACTCCCTTCCAGGCAGCTAGGATGAGGATATTAAAGCCCACTCCCACAGGGACACACCTAGTCCAATAAGGACACCCTTCGAAACAGTGCCACTCCTTGGGCCAGGCATATTTAAACAACGACAAATATGAAGTTGGGCAGATAGGGAAGGGAGAAGATCTGGGAGGAGTTGAGGAACAGAAGAGAATATGATAAAAATCATGTAGGAAATTCTCAAAGACTTAGGGCTGCATAGGTGGCTCTGTGGTTAAGAGCAGTTGTTGCTCTTGCAGAAGCCCTGGGTTCTGTTCTCAGTGCCCACACAGCAGCTTACAGCCACCCATAACTCTAGTTCCATGGAATCCAACAGCCTTCTTCACCTCTGTGAGCACCAGACAGGCAATGGGTACACACACGCGCACACACACACACACACACACACACACACACACACACACACGCGCACACACTCATGCATAGCTCCTCTTTAAAGGTACGTACTTGACCTAGTGGCCTGACACATCATTAGCACGGTACTGACTGGGAATTTCTTGGGCAAAGCTTTCAGTGATCTAGATTCTCTCTACATATTAGGCTTAAATTTATTTTTCTTTATTTTTGAGACAAAGTCTTATGCTACATAGCCCAGGACAGTTTCCAGTCTTAGTCCTCCTGCCTTCTCGATACTGGGATTAAAAGCCCAAGTGCTGATGGCCAGTTTAAAACACTTTGTTGTTGTTGTTTTAAGGACAATAGAATGAATGAGTCTAAAACTTTTTAAAAATATTCTTAACAAATACTTATTACTACTAATCATATAGTATGGTATCCTATTAAAGATCTTTTTAAAAAACGCTTCACACTCAACTATTTCTTACCTGAAAGCTTTCTTCTTTATGAGTGTATACAGGGCTGGGAAGTAGCTCAGTAGGTACTGCCTGGGTTTGCCCCCAAGCACCATGGAAGGAAAAGAAATTTCAATTTAGTTCATGAGTGCTAAAAGTTTATGTTAATGCACGCAGGAGAAAAAAGTTCAATGAAGTCTATTTTATGTCTTTAAGCACAAAATTTCAAATGTTAAAATTATTTTGTATCAATCATATGCAAGGCTCAGAACAATAACCCACAAGCGTTCCCACAGCCTGCCTCCTAGTCCAGTCCCAGGCGGTCAGCATCCAGAGATGGCAGCCTACACCACACTTCAGAGGCAAACAACAGCAGAGAAGGTGGAGGCTTACCTGCTGAAGGATAATGTAATCTTAACAGGAAAGCAATGGCTTTTTAAAGTCATGTGGTAGCTTACCATTTCAGAGTCACCTGAAAAAGACAAGTGACAAGCTCCTCCCCTACGTGCTCCCAACGTCCCAGACAACAGAACACTGCAGTTCTGACTGCGCTGCAAAGCTCCTTTAGTGGCAAGGAGCAGTGCAACTCCATGAGCGTTCGTTTTACGTCTAGAGAGGCAGAGCGAGAGAAGCGGGTGAAGAGAGAAGAATAAAAACTAATTTTCCAGGCAGGGAAATACTTATAAAACCTTTTATGTCAAAGTTAGGATTTTAAAACATCACATACTAATGCAAAATCCAGTAGCACCTGTAGGGTTGAAGTAAACGCTGCCATCACTTAAATGCTTAAATATCCTTAAAAGATTGAGAAAAAACCATGAAGTACATTCTCCAGAGAACAAATGTATTTCAAAATAAAAACTGTATTTTTGTCTTTTTCAGTTTTTGCTTTTGTACAAGATTTCATAGTTATAATAACTTATACACAGATGGGATTGACCCCTGCTCTCCTCCTGGGTCACCGCAAGTCCACATGTTCAGGCTATCGTCCCCAACACTATGTTCTGATCAATATATTACCACAGCTTGATCTAAATATAGATACACTATATAATATTTATCTCTGGGAAAAAAAATCAAATTTTAATATGCAAATATCTATATAATACAGCGATGGAAAAGCTACAGTAGGCACACAACCTATAGCTCAGAGGCGATGAGTTCTAGAGGCTCTCCTCATATGAGTGGATGTTTAAAATAGTCAAGAAGGTTTTATTTATATGTGCACTTGTGTCCACCTTATCCCAAACACTGTACATGTCTACCGACAAGCTGGGAATTTATAGGTGCAGCCCTCAAGAGATTGTTAAGTTACTAAAAAAAGAAACAATTAGGCTCTATTGGACATGGAAAACACTCACAAAATTTTCCAATTTTAAATTTCACAGCAGTAGGAAAATATTAAAAATAATTTCTGTCTATACATATAGGTATATGTATATGTTGAATGACACATATGCCTCACATTATCAGTACAATCCAAGTGGAGACATTTTGGTGAGCTATTTTCCCACTAAATGATCACTATGCCAAAATTTAAAAATATTTTATTACATCATTAAAATAATTCGCTTATCATATCAACAGCTTACACTGTTTTTTTTTTATTTTTTTTAAATTTTTTTAAATTCTTCATAACTAAATTCCCTGATCCCTAGTGTTAGTCCTCTATTTAAATGAAAACCTGGTATTCTTTGATATTCAGAAACTCATAGATAAAATCATATGTTTTCAAAATTCTATCCATCAAATAAATTTTATTTCCTGATTTATCAGAGAAGTATCTCAGCTCTGAGCATGTGTACCTAAATGGTTCTTTCTATAATAGACAGGTAAGGAAAATTCCCTAAAGTTGACGGAGGTAACGGGGATGATGAGATAGCACATAGATACGTGGTAGTTAAGTGTCTGATACAAACGTGCCAGAGACACCTTACTCTAGAAACTGACTTTAGAAACAATTTATTTTTAACTCTAATATAAATTAATATGTATGTATTTACATACATACACATAAATATAAAACAAAACTAGTAGTAGGAATCTGTTTATGAGTGAAAAAATGGGTTAATCTGCTTAATTTGTACTTAACAATTCAATCATTTGGGAAACAAACACAAAAATCAGTGCATTCATTGACTCCAGAGTTAGGTACTCAAGCATACACTAAAAAGAACCCTCTTCAATATCGCAGGCATTGTACAGCAAGATCTACGTACTCTGATGCAACTCCTGCCCGGGCAGAGCACGCAGTGCTTGGCTTACTTTTAAATTGTTTTGTGAAAGAAATGTATCATATAAAGAAACGTATGTTTGCTAAATGTTTTAAAATTACATCAAAACAACAGTAAAACCTGCTCTTAGAGAAGAGTCTGTTGAAGGTATTTCCTGTTTTGAAATGCCTAGTTAACAGTTCAAAATATTGCCTTGTGAAGTTTGAATAAACACATGGTTTCTGTGAAGACCCATCTGCCACGGTCACAACTTAGATACAGTCCTCTGCTTGGCTGCTAGTGGAAGTGGACCTCCTTGAAAACAGCTATACCCCTTAAAATGATCTATAATAAACAGTGCCCTAACCATTATTTTTCATAAATTGAAATGCATTGATCACTCAGAAAAGATTTCTTGCCAAATATATAAATAAATGTAACTGCATATTTTCGGTAAATACACTTAACATTGCTAGACTAAACCGTCAAGGACGGATTTCTGTATTTCAGTTCTGTGTGTCAAATTTGCTATAAATTTAAAAAGAAAAATATCTGAGGGACTCAGCTGCCTTTGTTTAGTTGGCTTTAAAATGTGTAATAAAATGGGAGACAGTATCTTCTCATAAATACATGGAATCAATATGGAAAAGTAAACTATACAACAGACAAGATTGGAGACAGCAGAGTGTACCAGAGTAGTCACTAGAGTGAAAACACTCTCAGTACAAAAAGGGAAGAACTCCAGACACCCATTTATGGTGAGTTTCAATTAGAGACATAGCTCCCCAACTCCTGGCAAGGATTAATTGGTAATGGCCCTTTCTCAGCAGCGGAAAAAATATCCTGAGAAATTATTCAGATAACAACAAAGACAGGGCTTCCATTACTAAGTTTTTGCACAAAACACAGCTGTAGATACCATAAATAAATTTAAAAAGCAGAGAATCTTCACTGTGTTGAAAAAAAAAAAGGAGAAGGGGCCCAGACCTTGTTAATTCTCCCATTGGCTAATATCGGGGAAAGATTGCATTAAAGTGTCTACTTAGAACTTTCTGGTTAACTATGGCCAATATACATGGAGGTAATTTGTAGTTCAAGTTTTTCATGTCTTTTTTCCCCAACTAGCTATAAGCTAAATTCTAAAATTTATACTGAAATATACAATTCCAATTTTCAAAACACCCTCCTCCTTGGAGGAACGATATTCAAAAAATTTTGTGCAATCTTGGTACAGAGCCCAAACAGTCCTACAAAGACAGACAGTATCTCTTCATCTATTGGCACTGAAATTTCACTCTCTTTAGCTGCATTCTAGTAGCTTGGCCAAATTATCTCGTAATTCTGTTAGTTCAAATATTTTTCCATCCAGAATTTCTAAGAGTGTCTTCAGGTTACTGCGGAAAGCCTCTTGTTCGTTCTGGCTCTTCTCCAGGCGCTGTTCTAGGTCAGACAGCTGCCCCTCCAGGTCTTTATTTCGAATTTCAACTTCCTTCAGAAAGAAAAGTGTAACACACACATACATGTCAGTTCATTCTTTAGGTAGCAATGCATTCCTACTATAACCCCATAAGTTTGACAGTCAGGCTGTGCCTCTGACATTTAACTTCACACAATTTAAGGACATTTGTATTTAGCCATCTCAAAATGCCATGGCTTGACTACGAACACATCTGACCACCCATCAACAACAAACTGCTGCTCCTCTGTTTCACTCCATGCAACACTTGACACATGTCACAGGACAAGCATACCACAAAACTTAAAGATTATGTACATCTCATTTTATTGCTACTCCTATGTAACTGAGAAATCAGGTGAAGGTAGGCAGAGACAAGGAGAAAATAAATTCTAACCAATAACTCTAAAGAAAGAGTTAGAAAAAAAACAACTACCTAAAATGAGATTCCGACTTTGTCTTATACTGATTCTGATCCCATATTCAGGATCAAAGGAATATATGTTTACGAAAATATAATTGTTCAACTCTAAAAACTAAAATGAATAGATAGAGTAACAGAAGTATAAATTCTATGCCAACAATCCAGGAAAGAGAAATGACAAAAAGAAAGCAAAATTTTTTGACAACACAAAAATGTTTAAAATTTTTGATATTGTCTAAATTCTAGCACACTAAGAATTAATTAGGAATTATTATGACTTTTAACAATGTTTCTAAGTATGACAAATACTATATAACGAAGTAAGTCCAAAAAAACCAAAATTACACGAGTAATGATTTAGCTTTAGCTTTAAAAATCAAATTTAGAGTTGGCTCAGCAGTTAAGAGCACTGGCTGTTCTTCTAGAGGACCTGGATTCAATTCCCAGCACCCACATGGCAGCTCACAGCCATCTGTCACTCCAGTTCCAGGGGATCCAATGCCCTCTTCTGGCCTCCACAGGCACTGCAGGCATGTGGTGCACAAATACGCATGCAGACAAAACATCCATACACATAAAAATAAAGATCTAAAAGAAAGAATTCTAGTATTTGAATTATGAATACTTTTTTCTTCATATTGATTTTTCTCACAATTGTCTCAAAAATAAAAGTTTTTAGAGCTAGCAAGATAGCTCAGCAGGTAAAGATATTGTTTCCAAAACTTACAACCTAAGCTGGATGTAGTACTGCACACTCATAATCCCAGTACTAGAGAAGCAGAGGCATATGGACCTCCGTGAGATCAAGGCCAACCTGGTCTACAGAATGAGTTTCAGGACACTCAACAGCTATAACAGCTACATAGAGACACTGACTCATTCACTTACACACACATGCACCATACACACAAACACACACCGTGGAAATTACATATCCACTGTGGCACACACATGTAATAAATATATAAATGTACTTAAAACATTGAGTCTTGAGAATAAGATTTGGGTAAACTGATTTGAAAACATTAAAGAGAGTAACAATTGATAATTCTGAATATAATCATGTGATTTGACAGCACTAATTATGAATACAGCTCAAGCAACATTATAACATGCCAGGTGGGCTGCAATGTGCAGAAGAATTAAGAGGGAAACAGAACAGCTATAGTTTATAAGTAGAGAGGAGAAAGGCCCAATGTAATCTCAAACTATTTGCTATTCAATGTTAGCCACTTCAATATTAGTCACATATGTTTTTAATCAGTCTTTGAATAATCTGCAAAGTGAAGACAATTAATAAAAAATCTGAAATGAATGTTAATACATTTAGAAGCTAAATCCATAGAGTCTGTAAACCATTAGGGAGGATCTGGTCCTGTGATCAAATATAAAAATTCCACTCATGACTGCAGAGTGTTCTTTTGATTTCAACAACAAGCTTAAGGATTGAATGTTTCCAGCTACAGAAATAGACTCATCATCACTGTCCATCATGCCCAGCTCACAACCACAGCCCAGTTTGCCCTCTACAGTGCCCCCTTAGAAATGAAAGGTTACTTGTTCTCTTCTCTATCCAGTGTAACATCCAAACATTTTAAATGGAACCACACAAAACACTACTACTTCAGTTGATAAACAGCACTATACTCCAGATGAATGTCCTACTCCACGAGAGGCCTCTGTAGGAATTTTACTAGTTAGGTAACATAGCAGCACTCGCACTGTGCAGATGGCTATGGCCTATTTTTAGAAGGTTGAATATGTTCATAGGTAAGAATAGATAACCTAGAGAACAGGGGCCAACTAGTGTGACCGAAGTAACAGCAGCGCTGCCAGGCTCCTTGTGGCCTTCACTGCTCTCTCCAGGCTTGTCTTCTACCATCACTTTTAATTTCCTCATCCTTAAGGCACACAGAGGCCACCAATTTCATGGTGCAAATGAAAAAAAAAAGTACTTTACAGAATCTCAAATTCCTGTTAAGAGACTCAAAATAGAGAGGTTTTTTTTTAATTACATATTAAAACCATGACTAATAAGACTAGGTATATTTAATTTTTGCTACATTTAAATCTGACACCATTCAATCTAAATAAAAGCCATACCAAAATTATCTTATTGACATCTGCTTCACAGTTTGTACTTAAGATATCAAGTGTGCACTTAAGATATATGTTTTATTAGACTATTAACATTTATATTTAACAGGATATTTTAATCAACAAGAAAAGCATCAATAACTCATTTCTACACAGAATAAATGGATAAAAGAAATGCATATATTTTGAAGAAGTTATTTAACAATTAATTGTTGAGCATCTATTAGTAGACAGTAGGAATAAAATATTCAGCATGAATAAAATGGTCCTTACTTAATGCACTGTGCTATCTAGACAGAAGATATTAGCAATAAAGAAGTGGAAGCTGTTTCTGAGTGGACAGAGCAGTGAGAGTTCGTACACTAACACCTGCGAGCCATCCTCCATGAACCACAGGAGCAGAAAATGAAAACAAAGTTGTGCAAGTGTCAAGACTTCAACATCACATAAGAGAGAACAATGCAAATGTCAAACCACTGGCATTCAGGGAATGTAACAGTGTCTGCAGGTCTGTTTCCATGGTCACAGGGAAAGGGGGGTTGGGGGGCTGGGAAAGAGGAAGACCTCTGCAACTGGCTAATCCTAAAACAAAAGCCAGGCAGGACAGAACAGGTCTGCCTTTGAGGGAAAACTCCACTTGAAACCTGAGAAGCAACACCTCTTCAGAAGAGAATAAAAGGCAAGGAGTCTTCAGGAACAATGAAGGGCAAAAGAAACTGGACAAAAAGTTTAAGCTCTTGTTATATAAAGAAAAATTAAAACGCCGAAACATACACAACCTATTTCTTATTGTTCCTCAGAAGAGGGTGCTTTGAACTACAAACTTATAAATCACCTTAAACTGCCATTCTGTCCACAAAAATGCAAAGATATAGCGTTCATAAAAACAATCAACAGAAAATACTAAAAACTCGGTAAAACAACAAAAAAAATCTTGAAACCAACTATGAAGCATTAAAAAATTCTTAACATAATATTCCATGTTGAATTACACTTTATACAAAAGTATTCAAAAAGGAGCTTGAACTGGGCACCCAAACTAGGAACTCAAAGGTTGGAGAGATGGCTCAAGGGGTTAGGAACACTTGGCTTCTCTTCCAGAGGACCTGGGTTTAGTTCCCAATACCCACATGGCAGCTGACTGCAGTATGTAACTCCTGTTCCAGAGCAGTCAATGCCTTCCCTCTGGCCTTTGAGGGTATCACAAACATGATACTAAGGCAGACCACGAAGGCAAAACACCCATAAACATAAAATAAAAACAAACAGATCTAAAAAAATTACATAAAAAATAAGAATGCTAGAAAAATACACTGAAAATGGGAGAGTTAATTAAATTGGTGAAGAACGAAAGAAAAACAAAAAAATGGGAAAACTCAACTAGAATTGAATTATAAGGTCCCTACTAAAATCAAATTAAAACAAAAATAGTTTTTACTAACACTTATAAATTCAGTTATTATTCCTTAATTATATATAAAAATTTCAAGAGAATAAAAGCAAAATAAAGTAGGAAAAAACAGAAAATGAGATTGAAATAGAAGACAAAAATATTCAACTACATATAATTAGATATATTGCAAAAGAAAAATAATACATAGGGAGAAATATTTAAATTCCATGTGTGACATGTTTTACTAACTTTTTTGGCACTGAGATGTCTAGCAAAACCAAAGTGAGGCTCTCTGCCACTGAGCTCAGATCATAAAGGAACCTGGGGATGAAGGTCTTAGATGTACACTATCATTACTGATATTACTATTATTGGACACAAGGTCTCATTATGTAGCCCTAGATGGCCTGTACTTTTTGACACAGACCAGGCTAACCTTGAACTCTCAGAAATATGCTGCTCTCAGGATTAGGGGTGTACAGCACACTCAGCTGGACAAGGAAATTAAAATGGCCAACTAATACTTGAAGAAAAATGACTTTCAACAATCACTTTGAGAAATAGCTTGGTGTATCTAACTTTTTAAAACAAAAACAAAATAAAGAGAGAAAGAAGTCCTCACAGCATTCAAGCAAACCATACCCAAAACTTATTAAAGCAAGAGAAGCAGAACTGGAAAGAGACCTCTCATAAAGGCTGGAGCAGGGAAGAGCAGTTAAAGAACTGGCTGCTCTTCCAGAAGACATGAGTTTGATTCCAGCACACGAATGGCAGCTCATAACCATCTCTAACTCTAGTCCTTCTACGGACTCTAGGGGCACCAGGTACACACATGTGGTGCACAGACATACATGCAGGCAAAACACCAATACACTTAAATTAAAATTTTAAAAATGAATAAGTACATTTTAAGTGACATATAAAAAAGTAAGGGTGTAAGAGTCGTGACTGGGTGAGTGCTGATCTGAATTTGCTTGTCCAGAACTCAGGTGGACAAAGCTTCACGGCCCTGTGATGAGAGCTAAGTATGAGGAGATCTAGGAAGAAGGCTGGAGTTAACAGCAGAGTTCCATCCCCAGTGCCCCTGTCAGGTTCAAAGGTTAAAACACTCACAGGTGAGAGGCTAGAGTCTGAATCCCCAGAGCCCAGGGTAAATAAATGCAGGATAGGCGAGGCAGACAGTTTTAACTCCATCCTTAAAAGACAGGATTACCAGAGCAAGCTAGCAAGCAAGCCTAGCCAGATAGGAGTGCTATGGGTTTTCTGAGAGACCCTGCCTCAATGACTAAGTTGGAAAGCAATGCAGAACAGATTCCTGATACCAACCACAGGCCTCCACATGTGCATGCACATCCATACACAGCAAAACATGTACATACACAGACCACAAACACATACAGAAATAGGGAATAGGGAAGAAAAATGGCTAATTTTAAGGCCATGGATGAGAACTGTGAGATAAGCCTGGAATATCCACTTGCTCTGCAATGTAAAGTTCTTCAGAGAATGGCGTGGGTATGAAGAGGGCAGGATCTAAACTGAAAGGTTTCTCGTTGGCCAAAGCTGTCTCACCAAGAACAACAGACATAACCACCAGACAGACCACCTCAACCTGGAATGGATGGGTCCTGGGTTGAAAAACCATCTGTAAATTTTGTTATAAAGAAGATTAAGATAAATCTGACTCCCACCAACAGAGGACACATGTGTGTCTATTGAGGATGGTTCTGTGCACTATGTACTCAAATGCTGAATATCACACCAGGAGATCTGGGTGTAGTCTAGATTCTGTTACTGTCATTATTACAAAGCGTCTTCTGACTCAGTATTTTGTAAAACATTGTTCTCCATCAACTTCTGATTGGTCAATAAACACTTGATCAGCCGATTAGCTGGATAGAAGAGATAAGGCAGGACTTCTGTGCCCAGAGAAAGGAAGACGGGGTTTAGGTAAGGGAGAGAGAGATTTACTATGAGGCATCAGCCTGGAGCAAGTCACCAGGGGAGTGGGCATGAGGACACTGATGGAGCAGGAACAGCCAGGACAAGACTAAGATGGCTAAGACCAAGACTCGTGGCTGGGAAGTAGGCCAGGACAGCATAGTGGGGTTAGAGTCAGTCAAGCCTGCCTAGCTTAGTGCCTAGAGTGTTTGATAAAATACCAGGTCTCTGTTATTTATTGTGGAGATAAGCGGGGCAGGAGAAAAGCATCTGACTTATCTTTTACATATGTCAATTACATTAAGGAAGTATGTTACCTACACACACAAAAAAAAGGGGACAAAATTGTTTAATACCAAAGAAAGGACTTAAATAAGGACAAGGGAGTCATAGGCAGAGTCATAGTGACTTGTCCCCTGAACCTTCACCCAGCCGATACCTGGTTCTGAAGATATCTGTATTCCCCCTGAACAGCCTCCCTTCCCCATATCCTGCCTTTCTGTGTTTATACCCCTGTGTGAATTAATTATGATTTGAGAAAAAATTTTAAAAAAAAGTCCAAAGAAAGGGAAAAGTCACTAATTTTTGTTTCATTAAGGCACAAGGAATGCCAGAGTTCAGAGAGTAGCTCAGAACATAAACACCAGCAGCTCTCTAAACTAAATTAAATCCTTTTGAGATGCTTTAGCCCTTAAATTTAGGGTACCTTTTAATGATAAAAACAGAAGTTTCCAAAGTATTTCAGTAAAAAAAATTAAAAATGTCTTTAATGATTATAAACTACCTAATGAAGTAATCAAAGAATGTCTAGAATAGTGAACATTAGGCATGAATCAGAGGTACTAGAAGAAAAATGAGAAAATGTATAAAAATGAAGGCTCAAAAAAGTCCTTATGTTGTGAAAGGATGACTATTACTTCTCTTTATAAAAATCAGTAAGTATCTTAGCTTACCTGTAGTTTTTGAGTCAGAGAGTCCCTCTGTTCCTGGAGTTCTCTGGCATTATCAATTTCTTGTTTTAATCTTTCTATTTCCTAGAAAAGGTAAGGTAGTACATTTAACAACAATTAACTTACAATAAGGAGAAAGAAGAACTAACTTTTCCCTGAAATTACACCCTAGTTCTTAGGAAACAGTAATTAAAAACAGACAGGCAGACAACACCCTTTACTGACTTTGAGAGAGTGTGTATGTCCTGAGAAGTATCTTGCCTGAAACAGTGGGGTTTCCATTTCTCTTTCTGGGAGTGGGGCAGGATCTCACACTGTAGTCTATGCCTTGAACTCACTGTGTAGCAACTCACTATGTATGTTGGCTTTCAAACTCAAGATCCTCCTGCCTCAGCCCCTAGTTCTGGGACTACAGACACAATATCATCTGCCCATCTCAGAATGATTTTTATCAACTAATGTAATCTCATGGCTTTATCAAACCAATAAATAGCTTTAAGTTTTAGATAAAATAATTTCTCTTGGTATATAAAATAGCTCTTTTTGACTACAGAAACCAAAGAAAGTAAGAATTTTCAAAAATTCATTTAAACTCTAATGGTTTCCTGTTGATTATATAAATACAATTCTCATAAAAGGCAACACAATAGTTCAATACAATTAATAAAAAGAACAGAAACAAGAACAGGAAAAACATGAACAAGCTTCATAATATTCAATAAAAATTTATCTTAAAAAAGAAACCCACAATTTCACTCTCTTCTGATGGTGCTCTAGATCTGACAGTGTCTACTATGCTGTATCAAGGACTAAATGGTAGGGCCTACCTCTTCCTTTACTTTCAATGTCTCTTCCAGTTCCTGCACGGTCTGATTCAGCTCTGTCTTGTGGCTGTGCACAGCATTTGCTTGACTACTAACACATTCCAGCTCAGTGACCTGCAAGTGACGGAGAACACAGGTTAAATTAAGTGGCAATTTCAGAGGCTTTCTGCTGAGATCATAGTAAACTCCTGAGACATTTTTTAATGAATGCTGAATTATTATACAAAAGACTATTGGATTTTAAGCATAAAATAAATTTTTTAAAATAAATATTTAAGGCAATGGCAAAACCCAAAAGATTATTAGATGGGTTGTGCTGCTCAGAGACAAGTTAGGGAAAACAAGTGATAAATCACTATAAAAAATTCCTTAAAAAAAGTCTTCCTTAAAATTTATACAAGTCTAGATAGCCAAGGGGTAGTCATACATACCTTCAATCCATAACTCAGGAGGCAGAGGCAGGTAGATCTCTGTAAGTTCGAGGACTACCTTGTCTACAGGGTGAGGTCCAGGATAGCCAGGGCTACACAGAAAAACCCTGTCTCAAAAAACAAAACCTAAGCCGGGCGGTGGTGGCGCACACCTTTAATCCCAGCACTTGGGAGGCAGAGGCAGGCGGATTTCTGAGTTTGAGGCCAGCCTGGTCTACAGAGTGAGTTCCAGGACAGCCAGGGCTATACAGAGAAACTCTGTCTCAAAAAAAAAAAAAAAAAAAAAAAAAAAAAAAAAAAAAAAAAACCAAAAAAGAAAAAAACCCCAAAAAAACAAAACCTAAAACATTTATATAAGTATAAATATAATCATGTGCTCTTCCCTTTTGTAGTCTTCAAAGCTAGCATTTAGAAGTAAGGATTTTTTAAAAGGAAAGATTTAAATACCTAAAAACTAGGATATCAGAATGACTTCATGTCAACTGTGCCTCTTATGGAAAAGAGAACAATTTTTTAGTCACAAAGAATTTACCAAGAGCCTACAAGTAATATAATTTTTTAATGAACACTTGACACCCTTTTAATATAATAGGAAAAGGTCAGTATCCTTAAAATTATCCACCCCTAGTTAACACAAGAGGAAATCATGTAAATATTTACAGGCAACCTTTCACATGATTTAGACACCATGCTCTCAAAGTCTGCTTGACTAGAATAAAGCAAACTTGCCTTGCCCTTTCTAAATAGAAAATCACTCTGTACATTCTGGAAGTATATCTTTCACAACCCACCTTTCTTTCTACTTAGCCATCAATATACTTCCTTACACAGACCTTTACTGCTTAGGTCTGAACAAATGCAAGTGCTCCTGCAGTAGATTCAGTTATAACTCTGTCTCTCTTCTTACAGTCTGTAACTGCTAACAAATTAACTTTTCAATGTATGACATTCAATGTCTTTTGCTCTCTATAATACTAAATATTTTTTCTTTCTCTTTTCACTAATAAAACCCAGGGCCTTGTACATGTGAACCACCACTGGGCTGCGTTACCAGACCACAATGGTAAATTAAATCCTAGGGCCTTTCAAGCATTGGCTACATCCTATTTAAACATCTATTTTGGCCAAGACGTACACTTCTAATAGTAGGCAACTCTCTTTTTCCTAAGAATAAATTAGGTTCGTGTCTATCTTCTTGACTTGACTAGAATATCCTCTGAAGACCATTCTGATCTTGGGCAGTCAACTTTCAACTCAGCACCTATCTTCTGAAAGCCAGTCCCTTCTGCTGGAACCCTCAAAGTTCTTTTCTCCCTTGTTCACAAAATGGAGCGTCTAATTAAAAAAAAAAAAAAACCCACCAACAACAACAACATAATGGGAATGGGTTGGAAAGACACCTCAGCAGGTAAAAGCAGCTGCCACACAAACAATCTCCAAAACCATAACATGGGAGCCACAAGACACACTCAACCAGAACCCCATGTAGACATTCTATATGCATGCACTCACGCATGCTGACACACTTAAAACAGTCTTTGTTATTTAATGTATAGCAGTTGTCTTTGATTACAAACTTCTTTAAGGGAATTTCAGTGCTAGTAACAACCTTTCCCATAGATTTAAGAAAAATAAACCTGTGAACAAAATCAAGAAACACAACAACAGCAAAACACAGAAACAACTAACTATATTAAAGCAGTCACACTAAGTGTCAATGACTTATACATGTCTGTCTAAAGGCACCTGCCAGGATGGCTGTACTGTTTGATATACTCCAGCTGAAACTTTAGCTTTATTTTCCTGAGTTTGAACATTTTGGAAGAGCTGAAAACTAAGGGAATTAAATGAAAGGCAAATAGACCTCCCACAAAGCTTTAATGGACTTTGCAGCTGAGTACACAGTTAGAGTGAAGACCTGAGGGGAGGGGGTTAAGGAGGTGGTGGAAGTGGAGGCAGAGAAATCCAGACAGACACTGGAAGGACTGAGCCATGGTGGTACTGGCCATAGAGAAGGTAGTTTGAAATCTCGTCAAATGAACAAGACCTAAAAACACTTCAAACCTCAAGAGGGTTATATCTTAAAGCTAAAGACTGAGTGGAACTAGGCTAAAGGATTTTTCCCCCTAGGATTTGAAAAAAATTGAAATAAACTAAATCTATTGGTATATAAATTCACAGTTCCACAAATTCAAGGAATCCATTGACTGCTGATAATAATAATAAAAGACTTTATAAAACCTCTCTCTCTCTCTCTCTCTCTCTCTCTCTCTCTCTCTCTCTCTGTCTGTCTGTCTGTCTCATTCATATATATTGTACAGACTCAAAGACTGCAGATTGTTTATTTGGAACTGTGGATCTCTGCCCCACTTCTCAAGAGACAGGATTACAGATGTGCACTTCTTTTTATAAATTCTTTAATGTTGAATTCAACGGACTGCTGCAAACCTTCTTTCTAGGAAAGGATCACACAGTAAGGGAACATGATAGCTCTTCAATGGATATTAACCACCAGTAATTTGGCATTAAGCTGGGTTTCCTTTGAGATTAAAAAAAACTATAAAAATTATCTTACTATCACTAGGTATATTCATGTATTACAAACAGAGCTCCACAATTTTTCGTGTGGTAAACTGAAAGTTAATTTGTATGCACAGGAGAGGGTATTATCCATGCTGTTCTAAGTCTGTCCTCTGGTCGCTAGTCCTCTCCTTCCTACATGGCTGCCATCTTGGCTCTGTTCTGCTCAACACTGCTCTGGTACTCAGCCCATCCCCTATTGCCTGACGAGCTCACTAACTTGGTTTCCTTTTGAAAAGGGGCATTGGTGACACCTGCTTTCTATGATGTAAATGCATTTCTATGTTTCCACAAGGAAATTTTAAGAAACTGTTTTCTTGCTGATGTTAGCAGTATTGGGATTTTTGATTTCTTTCAAATTTCTAATATTACTAATTTTTATTTAAAAAAATCTACCTATAGTTTTCAAATTGTTCCTTTTCTAAAAACAAAAGATAATAAAAAAATGTTTATTGACTGATTGCAACTCAAAAGTCTGTATTAAGTCATATGCCACTTAAACACTCAATACATAGGAACTGCATAGGATATTGTTGGCCAGGCTGGCTTTGAACTTCTGAATTTAAGAAATCTTCCTACCATATATGCTCAAGTACTTAGGAATACCTTTAAGCACCTTTGTGCTAGGACAGAAAATGCATTCTGTTATAATATTTTTTCGTTGTGACAGAGTTTTTTTGTGTAGACCTGGCTATCCTGGAACAAAGAGATCTGTCTACCCCTACCACCTGAGTACTGGGATTAAGGCATGTGCCACCACTGACCGGCATTGGGAAATGTATTTTTAACTTAGTACAACTAACTGTCAGTTAAGTGTCTCAGTTAACTTTCAAGATAAAATACTGAGCTGAAAGAGAGACGGTCACAAAGGGCATGCAGCTAATGTGGCACAGCTGAAACTACCATCAGTCCATCTGCTTTCAATTGCTGTGTAGTCCTCACTCTCATTAAACTGTGAAGAATACTGTTTGACTCAGCAAAAGCTGAAACTTAGCTCATATATATTTTCTGATAACCAAAGAACATCCCCAAAGGATGTCTGATATCCATGTGCTGCATTATGTGCAAATTTTTCTTCCCACAGAACTTGCTACCCCAGTCCTGCCAGAGCCGGCCTTACCCGCTTGTGCAGCCGCTCTGCTTCCTCCTGATAGGCGGCAAGCTGTTGCTTCCACTGCTTCACGTTGGCAGTGGACTCCAGCAGGGCTGCGGTGAGTTTGGCATTGTTCCCTTTGAGGGTAGCTAGTTCAGCCTCCCAGTGTTTGCTGATTGCTGAACTAAAATGAAGCAAGGAGAACACTTGATCATTTCACTGAGTTTTTTTTGGAGTATACAACAATATTTAGTTCTATTACCAGGATTATAGTCTAAGAATGTTTTCAAAGACAAGTCCAAACATTAAAACAACAAAAATACTTCTAGCAGAATGATGGAACAGATCAATGTGATACAGATATACATTAATATATACTGTACACAAAACCAAAAATAATACCTAACAAGGAAACCAAAGTCCAGTACAGTTATATTCCTCAGTGGGACAAACGAGGGTGCTTACATGGCAGTTAGGTTGGAACAGGTAGTGTATTTTTTTAATTACTGATTTGTATCTGCATATTAAATTTTTTAAAATGTTCCAATAAAACATTTATTATAATAATATAATAAAATGATTTCATAAGAGGCTAGATCAAGAAATTGGTTCTAATAACTTCTATTACTAAAGCAATAGTATTCATTGGGAATTCTTGATAATTCTTGATAATTATTTTGCTAACTTTCCAAGGGAGAATCATCTTGCATATGTTTTTATGAACTATTTTATAGTGATTTTATTATATAATAAAAGGCAGTTTCCATCATCAAAATTTCTCAAGCTTAACGCCAGTTGTAAGATACATTCACATCATACCCTCACAAGACAGAAAGGACAGCAGATCATTCTCAATGACAGTTTTTTAAAAAAACAAACAATCTCAAAATGTTAATCAAATAAGCAAAAACAAAAACAAACAAAACAATCCAAATTTAAGGACAGTCTTCAAAATAATTGATCGAAATACTTTATAAATATAAATAAAAGACGGAGGACCAGAAACGAGGAGAAAATACACTGTCGAATCTTTGGGTAGTTTTTCAAAACAGAAAAGAAACACAGAGGTTGCGGGTGAAGTTTAGCAGTAAGGCACTTGCCTAGCATGAGAGAGGCCCTGGGTTCGATCCCCAGCACTGCCAAAGAAACAACACAGAAAAGAAAGGATCATTAGTAGAAAGCAGAGACTTAGTTGGTAGTTGCAATAGCGCTGATTCCCAAGACTTGATGGTTATATCACAATCATACAAGGCATTAACTAAGGCACACGTGGTAAAGGGTATATGGGGACACTGCAGTTTTTATAACTTTCAGTAAATCTAAAGTTAACCAGTTAAACAACACAGTGAAGCAATAAGTGAAACTATCAACTTAGCAAACTGCCTCAAAAAAGAAACTCTCTTCAAGTTCTTCCTTTGTAGAATGACATTTTAGATTTAGACTTTCTGAGAAAAAACATAACTATTCGCCTGCTCTAAATGGATTAGTTTGTATTAAAACCACTTACTAGTTGGCCCTAAGAAGTGTTTCATTTAAATGGGCTCTTCAATCTGATAATTGACATCTTACTGAACTAATTTAAAAATTTGCTATAAGCAAATATCAAACCTATTTAAAAATGAAAATGACTTTAAGGACTTATTTTTAAAATCTACTTGTCAAGAAACAATGCCATTCTAAAGATGAACCACACCATCTTATAGAGAAAGAATGAAGGTGCTATAATATGCTGTCTTTCTCAGTTTTATTTTATATTCTATTGCTAGAAAATCTATTAAGAATTTTGTATATCTACTAATTTCAATTATTATATCTGTGATACCAGATTCATCTCTCAACTATATTGATCCTTCAGTCTTTACATGTTAACTAAAAATGTTAGCCAAGTATTACTCAAATGTTAGCCACTAGCTGCATGTGGCTAATTCACTTTTCAGTCTCGTTAGGCACACTTCACACAATCAGTCAATAGCCACAACAAGCTGCACATGACTAGTGGTTAGCAAGGACACAGAACATTTCATTGTAGCAGAGGGCTCTACTGGATCATCATTCTGCAGGATCTCTACATTTGAACTAGGTTTTCCGGGTCTTCCGTTATGAAGTCAAAGATAACCCCACAACCTAATTTATATACCAAAGCTCTAATTTTTAGATCATCACAGTATCTGTATTTAGAGATTGGGTTTTATAGAGAAGTAAGGTTTAAATGAGATCCTTAGGGTGAACCTAACTCATATGACCAATGTACTTATTTAGAGAAGATATAACCATCTAAGTATATATGTAAAGTAGCCCAACAACATTTTCCAATTTACCCTAGGATTTTCCAGTGTTTTAGAGTTTCTATTGCTTCAATGAAACACCATGACCAAAAGCAAGTTGGGGATGAAAGGGTTAATTTGGCTTACACTTTCACATTGTAGTCCATCACTGAAGAAAGTTAGAACAATAACTTTCAAACAGGGCTACAACCTGGAGGCAGAAGCTGATACAGAGGCCATGTGGGGCTGTTAACTGGCTTGCTCCCCATGGCTTGCTCAGCCTGCTTTCTTACAGAACTCCAGACCAGTAGCCTAGGAGTGACCCCACCCACAATGGGCTGGGCCCTACCCCACAGATCATTAATTAGGAAGATGCCTGACATGGATGGACAGATGGCCATGAGAATGAATGGAAATCTGAAACTGATGGGGATGGGGAAGTGGGGAGCATCTCTAGGATATGACAGAGATCTGGGATAAGGGAGGTGCCCAAGAATCAATGGGGGTAATCTTAGCTGTGACTCACAGTATTGGGGATATGGAACCTGAAGAGGCCATCTCCTGTTTCCAGGCAGGAATCTCAGTGGAGAGATAGGGACACCAACCTGCCCACAAAACTTTCAACCCAAAATTTATACCATCTATAAGAAATGCAGGCACCCCCATGGAGCAGACTGAGGGAATGGCCAACAAATAACCAGCCCAACTTGAGATCCATCCCATGGGCAAGCACCAATACCTGACACTATTAATGATACTCTGTCATGCTTGCAGACAGGAGTCTAGCATGGTTGTCCTTTGAGAGATTCTGCCCAGCAGGTAACTCAGACAAATGCAGACACCCACAGCCTGGATGGAACTTGGCTGACTCTTAACAGAAGAATAGGGGGAAGGAGGGGAGAGGAACTCCAAAAAAAAAGACCAACAGAGTCAACTAACCTGGACCCTTGGGGCTCTCAGAGACTGAATCACCAAAGAGCATACATGAGCTGGACCTAGGCCAACCCACACATATGTAGCTGACGTGTAGCTTGGTCTTCATGTGGGTCTCGAACAACTGGAGCAGGGGCTATCCCTTAAAGCTGTTGCCTGACTGTGGGATGTGTTCTTCTAGCTGCCTTGTCTGGACTCTGTAGAAATGGATGAGCCTAGCCTTGCAGAATGTGCCAGGGTGGTAGACACCCAAGGGAGGCAACACTCATGCAGAGGAAAAGGGGATGGCGGATGGGGGAGTGGGGAGATGGGGAGAAGGATTGTGGGAGGGGGGTACCAGTAGATGGGCAGTGAGCAGGATATAAAGTAAGTAAGTTAAAAAAAAAAAGGGTGCCTGACAGTTGGATCTTCTGGTGGCATTTTCTTAACTGAGGGTCCTCATTTCAGATGACTCTAGCTTGTGTCAAGCTGACATAAAATTAGCCAGGACATCCAGTATGTTCAAGTCTGCTGTTTATTTAGATTCAAAGAGGCTTAAGTTTAAGGAATAACCCCAAATGTCCAGTATGCTGTGGTTAAATCTAGGTAAATACATTTATTCTCTATGTCAACAAAGTAATATATATGATTATATGCATGGAATATCTGTTTATGAGCAAGAAAGTTATTTTAAAAAGCATTTCTAGTTGGGTGGTGGTGACACAAGCCTTTAATCCTAGCACTCAGAGGATCAAGTTCAAGTCTAGTCTGGTCTACAGAGAGAGTTCCAGGACAGCAAGGACTACACAGAGAAACCCTGTTGCAGAAATCAAAATAAAACCAAAAGAGCATTGCTAAGACCAGGGAGGCTCATACTTGGGCAGCGGTGTCACACTTTCTTGTAAGTTCATCTTCTATCAGAAGCAGCACAGGGGCAGACTGGGAAGAAAGGGGAACAAAGGAGGCCTGGATGAACACAGATGCCATCACTATGTGATGGCTATAAAGACTGTCTAGGCTTAGTCTCCTGGAAAAGATAATCTCAAACTGTTACCTCTACTTCTTTGGACATAGAGAATAACCTATTACAGTTGAGAAACAAGAGACAAATCTCTATACCTTAGAAGAGCAGAAAGTAGTCCAGGATTAGGGTCTCCAGTCTCTAAGAGGGGTAAGAAATTCCCACAGAAGACCCTCCAATAAAGAAGATTGAATTCACTTGCTGCTACAAGGTAGGTGTGTCCTTACTGTCAAGCTGACAGCAACTTCCCATGTGAAAGGGATAAAGTGTAAGACAACCCAAAAGCTAAGGAGGTATCAGGAAATGTAGGAAAAATCTCTCCAGCAGGTCAGCATTGACACTAAGCATAAGCTAATATTAGAGGTGGGTGAAAGTATGAACAAAACCAAAATCTAGTTTAAACCCTGAGTAGAATGATGTAACTCCTAAACCAGCACAAGAGTCAGACCCAAGTAGAGGATGAAACGCAGTAGCTGGCCTTTCATATCTGTGACTCCCATTATCTGTGGACTCATTCAACCACTGGCTGGAAAGATTAGGAGAACACTATCTTGTCTGCACTGAACACAAACAGACTTATTATTATTATTTCCTAAATAATAAAGTGTCAATTATTTATATAGCATATATACTACATGAGTCTAATACATATAAAATTAAGTGTACAGAAGGATAAATACACAAATACCATTCAACTTGACATAAGGGACTTGAGGAGCCACAGATTTTATACTGACAAAGGGTCTTGGAACCAATCTTTATGGATAAAGTGACTTTAAGTCATTGTTACTTCTTATGCACTATTTAACATCAATAGATTGCAGTGTGTACCAAAGAACAATAAATGAAGCCACTGTCCAAAGTGGAAGCATACACAGGCTCTTACTCAGAGGCGAAGGGCATTACTGAGCAAGGAAGGCAAATGGCCACCTGACGTCTTACTACAAGAGGAGACACCAAGCTCTATCAGTGAATTTCAGCAGAGAA